AAGTTCTTGAACACATTGTCCACAAACAATTTTCAGCCTTTCTCAACAGTAACAATGTTTTATGTCCATATCAATCTGGTTTCCGACCTGGTCACAGTACAACAACTGCCCTTCTTAAAGTTACTGATAATATTCGTTGGAATATGGACCATGGATTTTTAACAGTTCTTGTTCTACTAGATTTCAGCAGTGCGTTTAATTCTGTCGATTTTGATATCCTTATAAGTATCCTTAAGTCGATTAATGTGTCTAGATCTGTTATTCTATGGTTTGACTCCTATCTTCGAGATCGTTCTCAATGTGTTCGTTCAGGTGAAATATACTCCCAATGGTATAATGTAACTGCGGGTGTACCACAAGGTGGAGTCCTATCTCCTCTGCTTTTTGCCGTTTTTATTAATTGTATCACTAAGGTCATATCATCTAATTACCACCTCTATGCTGACGATTTGCAGTTATATCGTAATTTTGTGGCATCTGAAGCTAAATTGGCGATTGAAGCTATGAATGATGACTTAAATAAGATTAGCGAATGGTCAAGATCTTTTGGTCTCATAATAAACCCAAATAAATCCCAAGCATTGATAATAGGCAAAAGATATGCGCGTGGCTTGCTTGATTTCTCCTCTCTCCAAACTCTACGAATTGATGGTACCACTATTCCCTACTCAGATACTGCCAAGAACCTAGGCGTTATTTTTGACTGCAATCTGACTTGGGGCGCTCATATTACGGATGTAAGTAGGAAAATATTTCATGCCTTTCATTCTCTAAAGCGTCTTCAAAGTTTTCTACCCTTGTCTACTAAGATATCCATAGTTCAGACTCTTATATTACCAATTTTAGATTACGCTGATGTATGTTATCTGGATGCTACAGAGGAGCAAATCAATAAACTTGAGCGCTTGCAAAATTTATGTATTCGATACATTTTTGGCTTAAAGAAGTTCGATCACGTTTCTGTTTATCGCAAGCAGCTTAAATGGCTCCCAATCCGCCTTCGCCGGAACACTCGTATCCTCTGTCTTCTTTTCAATATTCTACATAATCCTTCTATTCCGCTATATCTAAAAAATCGTTTTACTTTTGTTCATTCTCCAGATGTACCATGTAGGGCAAATACTAGAACATTGTTAAGATTTCCGTCTTTCAATACCATGCTCTATTCTCATTCTTTTTCTGTTAACGCAGTACGGTTGTGGAATTCACTTCCCTTTAGGATTCGTGATGCTAAATCGGTGTCTATGTTTAAAAGACTTGTTAAAGAGCACTATCACTCACTCCATAATTACTAAATCGTAATGTGTTGGTATGCATATAAGTAACATTAAAATATATATTGAATTATATATATTTTTTATAATATATAATATTTATTTATATATGTATATACGTATATATATATAAGTTTGTATATATTTGTATAGTATATGTATATTTATGCAAGTGCACACTTTGACTACCTCTATTTCCTTCAACTATCCTTCAATAGGCCTGCTGGAAGAAATTTCATCATGGAATAAGCAGTGCCTTTGTACATAATTATGTTTTTACCATTTTCTTATCAAATTATGTGTGTACATAAACTGTTAAATAAATAAATAATAATAAATAAGTAGAACACACAATGTAATAAGTTAGATACTAATAATTTTGTCACTGAACGAAAATTTGAGATTGGAGAAACAATTAATAATGCCTAATATCTTTTCTATAGTATTATTTTCTACTACGAGAATGTCTAACGGAGTTGAATAATTGCTGTGGGTATACTGGCCAGCAGATATTCAAAGGCAGTTTAGGTTAAACTAAACGTTTGAGATAGAGCTTGCATAAATCACTGGATGTAGAAATTGCTTTATCTAGATTATGTGTTCAGCCATGCGTTCGAAACTACTAATCGATTATTGAGATCTTCTAACACAAGCATTTTAATCTTACTTATTGTGGTGAACGACGATATTAGTAATTTATTTAATTAATAATTTATTTATTTTTATTTTATATATTATACCCAGTGAGTGACTGAAAATATTAAAAAGTTCTTACTTACCGCAATATCCAGATGTATATAATACCATTTTACTTTTAGTATTTAAGTGAAATATGCATTTTTCAGTTATTTCTTTTAAGATTTTATTCTCACTCTGGTTTAGTAAGGTAGCTCCTTACTTAGTAAGTAGATGGCTTATGCATTAGCTTAATAAGAAAGCTAATTACTAGCTAAGTCAGATTTTAAGTCAAAGAATTTTACCCATAAAAACCCAAAAGTGTCAAACGGATACTATTTTGCGTCCTTTTACGCATAAGAAATAATATATGAAATATTTATTCCTACGCAACACCATTTTAATCTTCTTTCATTCCATCCACTACAGGCTGTAAAGGTTCACTGCTGAACATAGGCCTTCCCCATTGATTTCCTGATAGGGGGAGATTTTTCCATAGTTGCCAAGCTAGTTTTTATTTCATTAAGTTGTTATCAGCAAGATGCTGCTGCCTATATCCTGTTTTGGTATCCCTCTGTTGTTTCTTACGACAACCACGGGGCGATATCATGTAGTGGCCTACACTGCCACTACGTGGTTATACAATCTATTCGCTGGGTTTTACGAATAAAATCATATATTGAAAGTTCTTGTAATATACATAGTTCAATATTTATTTGCGAAAAAGCAATATAGTAACTTATTATATACAATAATAATCCATAATATGTTACATACAATAGACACAATAATACTTTGTTGGATTCAACTTTTGAGAATTTACAAGAAAACTATAGACCACGTGTAAGCAAGTCAGAACTGTAAACACGCGTTAGGACGGTTTCGAAATGGCCAGGACGACGTTATTAGTCACGAAAGGTGACACGCGTTAATTATTTCTCTCAACGATATTTAATATAATTTTTAGTTATCATGGTGAAATGTGCAGTGCCAAGCTGCAAAAACGGTTTACGGATGCAAAATAAGAAGAACTATTTATTTTCAAAGTATGTAAGATTTCGATAAGAAAACACAGATTTTAATAAAAATACTTAGAGCGTGAAAGGGTGCAGCGGGAAACACGTAGCGGGGGAACAGAGCACGTGCTCTGCGCCTCGTGCTTCGGGTTTTCCCCGAATTAGAGCTAGTACTGTGCACGTTGTACTCGAATATTATTTTAATGAGACGATTTCTTTCGTAGTAATTAGAATATAATTATGGTATTGGAAGTAAAGATCCTTTGTATTGCCCATATGGACCATAAAATTAAAAATTATTAATAGATTTGTTAAATAGGAACATAACTAAGTTTAATGCGGTAAATACTTATCTAATTTCAGTTTTCTGAAAAACCGTGAATTAACAAATAATGGATGATAGCAATAAGAAAGCCCAACTGGGAACACTACTTAAGTGAGTTCTGTGTGCTTCTTGCTATGATATGTGAGATTCGCAATTTCGAAATGATTTGGCGTTACCAGAGACTCTTCTATCTGTTGTGTATAATTTCATGATATTTATCATGCGGGTACTTTAATCCATATGGGGCCCCCATTTACTTGGTTATTATATTACATTTTCATTACATTAATTTTATTTCATTGGTACGTAAACTATATCAAGGTAAAACTGTAACTTGGGACGTGAGCACAACCTTGAGGCCTTCTTTTTTTTTTGCGGATGGGAAATCATCAAATGACGCCTTTCGCTCTGGGTGGAGCGGAAGGGAGTGTCAGACTTTTACTGACTAAAAACCATCCGTGTTCCTTCAGTGCCCTTACGTTCCGGAGCCGCGGTATCTCTTTCGAACAGCCCGCAGCCCCGGCAGGCGTCGGCCCTTGCGGGCCCCTTCACGCTGCTGACAGCTCTTTGAGGCGCGCGTGGAACAAAACGCGCCGTCGACACGGCCTGTCGTCGTTAGACGGACGGACGGCGAGCTACCCATTGCTCGCCGTCCACAGGCCCGCGCCTACGGTTGGCGGGGGCCACGACGTAGCCCCCGACGCCCGGGGCGTCTCCCGCGGCGGCCGGGAAGGAAAGCTGCTGCTCTCTCCTTCTCCCGCTCCGCCACCTCCTCCGCTAGCATCACTGCTTCGCAGAAGGTGGTGACGGCATCCCATTCCGTCTCGCTCCGGACCATGGCTTCGACCAGGGCCGGACGCGAGAGGTCGCCGCCGTCTATCGCCGCTACGAGGACACGGCGGTGCTCCGCCCAGGCAGGGCACACCTCCACGGTGTGCTCCACCGTGTCCTCCGGTCGATCTTCGCAATGGGAGCACCCGGGCGTTTCCTCCCGCCCGATTCGGTGCAGGAACCTCCCGAACACACCGTGTCCGGTGAGGACCTGCGTCAGGCGGAAGGTGAGGACGCCGTGGCGTCTCTCAAGCCACTCCTCAAAGAGGGGTCTTATCGCCGCTATAGTGGCGTGCCCAGCACGGGGTTGCGACAGTCGCTCTCTCCATGTCACCATGAGATTATGCCGGAAGTCTGTCCGCTGCACGACAACTTGCCGCGGCAGCGGGGTTTCCCCCCAGCATAGTGCCTCCGCGCGCCATTCGTGCAGGCGCGCGAGGACTATCGCCTCCAGATACCATGGCGGCAATCCGGCAAGGAGGCACGCTGCCTCGCGGGAGATCGTGCGGTAGCCGCGAACCATTCTTACGGCAACCACCTTTTGGGGCGCGTTCAGGTGGTGGACGGCAAGCCGCGCCAAACCACGCGCCCACACCGGGGCCCGCCGCCGCCTCGTACGACCCCCCCTGTGCCAGTACCAGCGTGTCGTCAGCGTAGCAAACTACGCTGACGCCGGTAGGGAGGTCGGCGCGCAGCACCCAGTCGTAACCGATGTTCCACAGGGGCGGCCCCAGAACCGAACCTTGTGGGACACCGCACGACATCTCTCGCCGGTTCCACTCACCGTTGCGACCGGGGTAGATGACGGTCCTATCCGTCAGATAGTCCCCGACTATACGACGGAGATAGGTCGGCACCCGGTGATACCGGAGTGCCTCCCTAAAGCAGCTCCAGGGCATGGAGTTGAAGGCGTTGGCGATGTCGAGAGACACCGCCAAAACAACCCCCCCCCCTGGCCACTGCATCCCCCGTCGTGAGGGCTCTCACGCGCATGATGGCGTCCACCGTAGAGCGCCTCTTGCGGAAACCAAACTGGTGTTCCGCAAGATCCGGCCCCGTCCCCGCAAGGTGCTCGGCGAGGCGGTTTGCAATGACTCTTTCAAAGAGCTTGCCCACCTCGTCGAGCAGCACCACGGGCCGGTATGCGGACGGAGAGTCCGCAGGGCGCCCCGGCTTCCGAATGAGGACCAGCTTCCCCGTCTTCCAACGAAGCGGGAATTGGCCTCTCTCCAAGCATGCGCTTAGGAGCCCCTCCAGTCGGGGCCCGAGAGCCTCCGAGGCCAGGACCCAGGCTTTGCCAGGCAAGCCATCGGGTCCTGGGGCGGTATTCCTGGCCTTGAGCCTACGTACCGCCACTCTCAGGTCTACCCCGGTCCCTTCCGGGATGCCGTCGTCGTCGTCCTGGTGGTCCGCTTCCGGCACCGCAGGTGGCGGAGCCATATGCGGGGGCGGATGTTCCCCTCGCGCAGGAAACAGAGCGCTCACCACGTCCTCCACGAGCTGAGGCCGGAGACTCTGCGTCAGCGGGGGGGCCCAGGTGCGGAGTTTATCCCGCACCATCTTGTAAGGGCGCCCCCACGGATCTCTGTCGAGAGTCTCCAGCATCTCCTCACGGGCCCTATCCCGGGCCCGCATGACAGCTTCCCGGAGGGCGGTCTTCGCCGCTCTGTATCCCTCGTACAGCTCCGCCTCAATGGCTGCCGCATTCGGTGGACGAATGCGGAGCCTGCGATGCCTGGCGTACAGGTGCCGCGCGGCGACACACGCCTCGCGCAGAGACGTCAGCTCACGCGACCACCAATACACCTGGCGCCGGGCGCTTCCTGGCCGGACGCGGGGCATTGCCACGTCACATATCTCGGACATGGCCTCCTGGAACCACCCTACCTCATCATTGACGTCGGCAGGCCTATCCGGTGATGACACCCAGGCCTGCACGATCGAGGCTTCCAGGAGGAGCTCCCGGTCCAGCTGCTTCAGCGCCCAACGCGGTCCATTCGGGGCCTGTTGGACTGGCGCGCTCGAGGGCTGGGTGAAGACGTCAAACCGGATGTACCGGTGGTCGGAGTAGGTCTCCACCCCCTCCATGACTCGCCAGTCAATGGCACGCGGCGACAGAGCGGGGCTAGCGAACGAAATGTCCACCACCGACTCGCCCCGCATCCGCACACACGTGGGGACAGAACCCCGATTTAGGACGACCAGGCCTGTCTCCAGAGCCCAGTCTTCCACCATCCTACCCCGCACATCTGTACGACGAGAACCCCAAGCCAAGTTCTTGGCATTGAAGTCCCCGAGGACAAGCACGGGGAGGGGATAGCTTCCGACGACGACTGCTCTCAGCTCTGCAAGAGAGTTGTGGAGCTCGGCGAGAGATCGGTTCGGGGAGAAGTTCACCCCCACAACGACGAACTCCCCGAACCGTGCTGCTACGCACCCCTGACCCCTCCTGACACCTTCAAGGGTCGGGGTACCGGCGGCGGCCGAAGAAATGATGGCCACTGAGCCGTTAAGGTCCGCCACCCAGTCCTTCCTAGGCCAGACAGAATACGGCTCAGCGACCACAGCGATGTTAATCGACCACTGCGCCATGCTCTGGAGCAACAGATCCTGAGCGCAGGCGCAGTGACAACCTTGAGGCCTACGTTTAAGTCATTTTAAAAGGACTCCAACAATTGCCACGGATAAAAACTAAGTTCACACTATGATCCAATGAAGGATGCGACGTCTATGTACCATTATCAAGGGTAACAAATTAAATACTTCTCTGGTCCCCAACAGTACTAATGAGTAAACTCGTTCACATCACTTCAACTGGAGGTATTGTTCCCTAGTATCCGTAATTTCTCCGATTTTATCATCCAATCATGGAAACATACCCTGCTCGAGGACTATATGCTATACCAGTGATGGAAGTTCCCGTATCTTTCCATTTATATCATAACAAGATCAAGTTTTGTTTCATTTTTATTCTCTTCATAACTTTTATTTCATTCTTTATTTATAAATTAATGTATTCGTTATTAATATGTTATTATCTATATGACTGTGTCGATTACTTGTATACACTTGCATGCTCCACTTCAATACTAACTTGCATTATTCTTGTTCCATACCACGAGTTTAAGCATTCAATATTTGGGTGATCATTCCAATATTGACAAAACTGAGCAACTCAATCATTCGTATTCACACTTTTGAACAATTCCTTCTTTCATTCCTCACACCTTTTAAATACGTACTTTCTAATTTTGTACAAAAATGGGGAAACATTTTTGTCATTCAATTTTCTGTTTGCGTTTAACTTTGTTATGAAACATTATTATTAAAACCTTTCATAATTATTTTATTCCTTAGTACCTTAACTATAATTTTAAGTACTCGTAGTAATAATTTTAAGTAATAATTTTTACCTCTTAATCTCTTCTTTGTTCTTCTTGGCTCAATTTTCATATTCTTCTGGACGAAGCTTGCAAGAGTACAACGGCTTCTTCCCTTTCTACTGCTGTTTCTTGAATGTTTGGCTTTGGTCATTAAAATATTTTGAAAAAATCCACATTTTATTTTCTTCATTCTTTCTTAGCTGCCTTTTTTTATAGGATAAGGGTGACAAACGAGCACACAGTCCACCTGATGGTAAGTGTTTGCTGCAGCCCATAGACATCTACATCTATCCTCTATTACAAATCAAAATGTAGATGCGTTGTCACCCGTGAGGACTAAGATGGAATGCCTCATTTCCAGTAAAAAGGGCCTCCGGCCACCTGCAATCACCAAGCGAAACGCAGAGGCAAACCTCTACTTCACGCTGGTTTTCTGTGAGGTCGTGGTATCACCCCGGTTCGAGCCGGCCCATCCATGCGACAGCAAAAGCTGCCGCATGGCTCTACCACTGTTAGCTGCCTTCATAGTACTTTTATACATATACATTATATTACTTCATAAACGAGTATGTGCTTAGTATAAATTAAACAGTTTTTGGCTGAACCTAAATTTTGTTTCAAGATAACGATCCAGTTATCAGCATTAGAAAATCGTTTCATTTTATCATTTCTTTGTTTAGATCTAACTGGAAGGAAAGCTAACCTTATCGTAAACTTATTATAAATTTAAAGAAAACACCACTAACCGTTAAAATATTCCTATCCAATCTAAAATTATGTGTTTTGATATGAAATGTTTGGTTGAATTATTTTTTCACATTTTTACTAATACCTCATCAAAGTACATTTCATTTACCAATATTGTTTAGGTCATTCAAATCTGACGCAACAAGTCCTTTATCAAATGCCAACTTCAACTGGACGCGCTGTACCCTCATCATCAACGTTTTATATTTTGTCACGTGGCCAATTTTATATGTCCATTTATTATACTGAACTCAAATCTTTCACAGAATAATAATGGGGCTTAATAACACGCTTACCCAGCGTGAAAAAATAGCAAACTTTTGAAGGTATTTATGACAGTTGATGCATTCTTGAAACGAAACTAAATGGCGGATAAGGAAGCAGATAAACGAGGTCTGCTTTCTATAGGAGATTTGGTAGACCTGTTTATTTATTCAACTGGAAGAAAAAACTACAAGCATTAAGTTAACCTAAAGTAATCCCTTAGATTAAACTGACGAAAATAAAAGGTTTATAAAAAATGTTCTGTTAATAAAAAATCATAAAGAATGCGTGTAAACGATTCAGTTTTTATATCCGATGTGATCATCGTTATAGCGTTGAAAAATTATAAAAAAATATACTTATTCTCACTTGAACCAGAGCTCGCGCATTAATCAAATGTCTAACATTAAAAAAAATGTTTTGCTCCATTTTTTACATATGAACGTTTTCCAGACTCATGTGACAACATGCGAGGATTCAAAGCTATAAGCAAAATATATATTATAAGCAGAATTTAATTTTTTTTTGAAAAATCCTCATATAAGAATTAAAATGCAGATGCTTTGTCACGCCTGAGTACTAAGATGGAATACTATCATCATCATCATCATCATCACTACAGCCTTTCATAAGTCCACTGCTGAACATAGGCCTCCCTTTCTCATAGTACACATACGCCAGGCATAGTGGCAAATTGTACTCCTCGGACTCCTGTACAACTTGCCGAAGGGTATGTATGTGGTCTATGGTGCTAAAGCCCTTTCGGAAACCGGCTTGTTTGGGAGGCTGGAAATCGTCAAGTAAGCGTGCCAGACGATTCGTAATGACTCTCGAAAACAGCACGTAGATGCGGCTCAGAAGGGAAAGCGGTCTGTAGTTCTTCAAGGGAGTATGGTTACCTTTTTTGAAGAACAAGACCACCGCACTTCTGCTCCACGCCTCCGGTGTAATGCCACCACGGAGGACGGAATTAAAGAGCCTCTGAAGGACTTCCAGTACCGGTTTTCCACCCGATTTCAGAAGCTCCGCTGTAATTCCATTCTCACCTGGGGCTTTTTCGTTTTTTAAATGCTGGAGAGCCATTCTAATCTCGCTCAGACGTCCGGGATATCTTCGGAATAGTGTCGGATAAGGCTCGCTCTTGGATCGTTACTCACACTTGCATGTGGCTCCAACGATGACTCTCCCATGCTTCCACACTCGGTCTTCAGCTTTGACAGTCGGCTCTTTCTGGCAGACAGATCTCTGGCAAAGACTTTGGAGCCTTGGTTCCGCTCGATCGCTTCTTCAATACGAGCTGTATTGAAGTTGCGTAAGTCCCGCCGCATGCATTTGGAGATCATTAATTTGCTGTCAAGTCTGTTGAAGAATGTAGCTTCATCTCCCGTCTAACAGCCATGAGATTAAGAGTGTGATCGGAGAGTTTTTGTGTTCTTCTGCGGCGGGTCCTGCAGAACTTAGCTCCGACCGCATGGACAGTTTCCACGAGCTTGTCATTCATATCGTCCACTTCATGGCAGTCTTCTAGGCACTGAAAACGGTTTTGTAACTCGAGCTGAAAGGTTTCGGGACTTTGGAACAGAGCACGAGGGGGACGGAGCGTTGACTTCATTAGACGAGACCTCTCCAACTTAACGTTTAGGTTCAGTGTGCTTCTAACCCTTTGGTGATCGCTACCAGTTTTCACCCTCGTGATCACGGAGACATCACTGAAAAGTTGTCGTCTGGTCATCATAATGAATTCAATCTCATTTTTTGTCGAACCGTCGGGGCTCGACCAGGTCCACTTCCTGTGGGACCACTTCCGGAAGAAAGAGTTCATCATAAAGAGTCTCTCTTTCTCCATGAAGTCGGCCAGCTGCTGGCTCTTTAGGTTCCGTTGCTCTATTCCAAATTTCCCTACTTTCAGCTCACCGTTCTCTCTTGTGCCTAGTTTTGCATTGAAGTCTCCCATTAACAGGGTTTTGAAATTATGCATGGCTCTAGAGATATCCTCATACATTTCCTCCACCTCCTCATCGGGGTGTACCGAGGTTGGTGCGTAAA